GTCTCACATCTTCCACTGTGTCTTCCCATGTGCCCTGATTAAGCCCCCTAAGCACAATCTGTAAGGGTTGTGTAATAATATCCCATCCCATGGCTGCATTATTGGCCTGACTGTTCCCTTGAAGTCAAGCATTTAGCTGTTTCTAATTGAAATAGGGTTTTTCCAAAAGAGCAACAAAATGAGAGAAACCTCAGAGGGACGTCACAGAGGAGCTTACGTCACATCCCAGCTTCTCCCTGCCTGCAGGCCACAAAGGCTGGTGGGGGCCGCAAAGCCCAGTGGAGGGCAGGAGGGATTTAGCCCAAACGGCTAACAGGCTCTTTCCGGCATGGGTGAGGGTATGTTTCCTGCTAGGCAGGAGGCAGGAGGCAGAGCAGGCTCCTCTTCCCCAAAACCTCAAAACAGGGAATTTCTTTTGAAAGATGAGAAAATGGCAGCTGGTTAAGCCATATACCCCCAGACCTTATACTTTTCTTCTGGAATCTTTTTACTTCTCATCTGTCCAAGTCAGTGTTCTATTGCTGTGAAGAGACTTCATGACCATGGCAACTCTTATAAAGGAAAACATTTAATTGGGGCTTGCTTACATTTTCAGAGGTTTAGTCCATTGTCATCATGGTGGGGAGCGTGGCGGCATGCAGGCGTACATGATGAAGAAGTAGCTATGTCCAGATTCACAGGCAACAGGAAGAGAGAAACTCGGGGCGTGGCATGGGTTTTTTAGACATCAGAGCCCACCCCCGAGTCACATACTTCCTCAACAGGCCACACCTCCTAATCCTTTCAAATTGTGCTGCTCTCTAGTGACCAAGATTTCAAATATACGAGTTTGTGGGTGCTAGTCTTATTCAAAGCACCACATCATCCTTGGCCACGTGATCTTTGTATGTAATACAAACTGAGGGTTTCAGCACCAGATGTATAAATTGACAACATGGCCGCACCAAAGTATGGTTAAGCTGAAACGTTTTATTGTAGATATGAGGGAGAGCACAGCCACAAGCATCTGGAAGAATCCAGAGCAGGGGGAGAAAACTGTAGGCTGAACATGAGCAGCAGCTGGACTTGGCCAGGAGAGGATGAGGATGAAGACAGAGGGGCCAAGGGCCAGGACGGAGAGGGCGCAGAGCGGCCTGAGCGAGGA